TCCAAGTCACTCACTCACCAAGGTCGTTAAACGAAATAAGAGTCTGTTTCTCTCAATCGTTTGTCAAGGTGTATACGGTTTGTATCTGGACTACATAATGAAGATGAATTATTCACGTGATAACGAGATCACGTGATGTATTGAGGGGGAAGCGAGGACAGAAGCGTCTGCACCGACGACCCGCAAGAAACATTGTAACAATGTCTACCAAAAATAACCCCATTAGTCGAAAGTGATACAGGCGAAACTAATTGTCACCTGTTCTGTTAAGTAATGTATTGTGTACAAATCCATATATTAGGGATAAAAAGATATGTTCGCGTTCCCAATAAATTAGTAAAACAAACAGTTGGTAGAGACATATATACGTCTATATATCGCGTCCATAGTATTTAGACATACCCCGTTGCCAAATGAGTTCCTAAGCTGCCGGCCATTAGATTTGTTTACTCAAAGCCTCTCACGTCTTGTTCTTATAAAGCAATAGCTTCTAAGTTGATGTCTGTAGAAACAGCAGCTAACGTGCAACGGATTGATGCACACGATGACTATACGAGTATCTTCAATTTGAATGTTTGTTCCGGGGCTATAAACTTGTAAGCCCTTGGTTGAGAACATTGCTATAAAGAATAATGGATGTCTCGAGCCAGCTTAGGAACATCACTCGATGAAATCAAATTTAACGTATTTTCCATGTTCAACAATAACATTTGAAGGTCTAATTTTGTGATGAAGTCATATTTGTAACTATAAAAAAACGATCAGAACTGTTCCATCTCACCACAATTGGTTGGCTTTTGATTTGTCATAGATTTTCAGTGCACACAAAGTGTTGAAAACTTCAGAAAATTGGTGGTGAGAGAGTAATAGAGATAGAGAAAAAATACGCATCCCTCCTTAACAAGTAACAGGGTTGAGTGACGGCCCCACCGGGAAGCCGTATGATCACTTTTCCATCTCCGGCGCCTCGCAACTTTTCTACATTTATCTCAGAAATACTCTCCTGGTCATGCGTTGCAATCATCAGAATATTTCCTTAGAACGGTAAAAATATCACCCAAACATGTACCTTGGAAAAAATCTCGATTGGACCATTTGTTTAAGTGGCAACGCTTGTACCTGTCGAATGATATTAGAAGTAAACATTGTCTGGGGATATGTTTTTTGCCCATTGTAATTCTCGGAGGTATTTTTGTTGATCAGTTTCTTAGTTGTAGCAAGTAGTAAAGAAATGTGTTTTAACGAAACTTTTGTTATGTGGCGTCTCTGGTTGATGACATCTACAAGAGAGGATGGCATCATGGGTTGATGACCGAGGTTAACTGTTGTACTTACGACTGTTTAGGGCATGCTTTTTCAACGAAGATTTCAAGATGTCGTAAGTCTCTGGACCAAAGTTTTTTTGAAGGTTACAAAACTCAAGGCCGCAGTAAAGGTTTCAAATAGTGCTGTGGCAGATATGTGAGGACATTTAAATATGACAAAAATGATGTCAGTTGCAATTCCTTATTTGACCCGTATTTTTCAGGCGAGCATTTGACATGCCTTTGCATGTGTTTAGGAGGGGTGCCACTAGGTGAGGTGGGGCGAGGTTGGTGAAATGGGGTTGAAAATCGCTGTCAAGATTATTGCACTTATATAGCGGCGTGTGTGTGTGTGTGTGTGTGTGTGTGTGTGTGTGTGTGTGTGTGTGTGTGTGTGTGTGTGTGTGTGTGTGATCGTACTAGTCCAGACTAATGTCGGTATACCATGCCTCAGATTAACATCTGTACCATCATTTAACGCATTTTGGTATGACGCGGCCGGGGATTAAACCACTGACCTCCCGCTCTTCGGGCGGCGCTCTATCCACTAGATCATAGAGGCTGACGTCGCCAAGCGAAGGGCCATGAACTTGCAATGAAACGTAAAGGACTTACATTGTTCACATACATTGTTTTCTATTGCTTGTGTTTAATAAGGGTTTTGCTGAGTATTTCGTATGTATGTTCAGTTCAAAGCTACCCTTATGTGTAATCTGGTTGCAGCAACTATGTCGTTTGTCTTCGTGGACAATCATGTGCATGCCTCTTGAGGCGGCGTGTTTCCTTTGATGATACCCTTATCTAAGTTGATAGTTACACTGGATAAACGACCAGGCTGTGCCGCCCTGAAGTGCAATTAACAATCACCTTTATATTACCTGTATGCAGCTCGTATAGAGTACAACTCAACACACGTACATGCAACTGTAATTGATATGGAAATATATTATATCATACATGATTTATAAATATAATATAATATACAGGAGTAAATAAGTTTTCATTTTCTCGTGTGTCATGTTCATTCTCTGCCCCATCCTCGGACTTTCGTACAGAGTGCATATTGCTTTATGCATCATTCAACAACATTGGAACTACAATAAAGCGGACTTTTGACAAACGAATCCGGGCATGGGAACACAGTGGTTGACTGCAAGCGCAGCTGTCCACGCTGCGGTTCGATAGCACAGGGTCAGGTCACACAATATAAGTCATCCAGTCCTGGTTGTTCGACTCTCATGACAAGCAGGATGACGTACTGTACCGGAGTTCCATAGTGTGTCACATGGGAGAAGGGTTAGTCTGATATACTCGAACGCGAACCCAAAGAAACATATAGAGAAGTACAGTAAACTACGGTTATAACGAACTCAAAGGGACCACTAAATTTAGCTCGTTATAACCGTAGTTCGTTACAGCATATATACGACAGATGGACGGGACCAAAGAACAGTTCGTTAAATCCGTCAGTTCGTTATAAGCATGTTCGTTATAAACGTAGTTTACTGTATGTACTTTGAGGAGAGATGTTTCCAATGTGTACCAATTAATGACAAAACAAACAATCAGTCAAGTGTTACTACTGTCTTATTCTTTCATGTGATTTCCAAACTGTACACGCTATTTCTGCATGAGACAAATGACGCAACTTGAGCCCCGGATCTATGACGTCACATGTGATGCGTTCATGAGCATCGGTTCACACAACATACCACAATGATCCTTTGTGTCTCGAACCCATCTAATATCTCTTGAATATGAATAATTCTTTATACATTAACCAATATTTATGGTACTCGCGTTTCTTTCGGCGTTGAGTATATATTGTACAGGTAAACTTGTAATACATTTCGCTGAACGTTATGAGAATGGAGCGACGTCAGAACACAATTCTTTGCAATAGCTTTGAAATTTACATTAGGTCAAGGGAACTTTCGTTTGAGAACTAATACTCTTATCTGAAAATAAATAGTTAAACGAAAAATAAAGGGACCAATCTAATTAAAATCAGATTATAGTTCTCGCTGTGCTAAACAAAGATCTGAGGAAATCCCATTAAGGGTCACGTCAGAACGAGCTTTCATCCAACCAATCAGAGCGTCGCTTACCAGATCATGAAAGTGAAACTCGGAATGTGTTTGCTAATCATACAACCACAAAATACTTAACACGGGGTATTCCGAACGACAGTTACGGGTTTTATCATTATAACCATATCCCACAATCTAGGCTATCTATAAGCCATTCCAGAATGTTCTTCTTATCAGTTTTAATTTTTTTAATCGAGAATACGTCAAAATATGTTTCGAAGCGTATAGTCTGGAAGTTAATTTAAGGTACCGACGTTTACTACAATATCTGAAAAACTATTGGACCTACTCCAGTCAAAGTTGGTATGAGATTATTAAACAGTCATACAGAACTGGATATTACATTTAAAGACAATCGGTGCATGAATAAAAAATCTGTCTATTTAGCTATCACTATATTTCATCAACAACCAGACCTGTTCGTCACGGGTGGAACGAGCATTCATTGTAACAGCCATCTGCATAATGCTACCCCTGCGTCACAGGGCCATATGACACACTTGAAACCATCAACTCAACTCGAAAGGTTGCACGGGAATCACGCACGCACAAATACGGTGTTAGCATTAGATTTCATGATGTCTCAGCGCAAGCATCTTTCTGCTGATGCGAAAGGTTTCGTTGTTAAAATATACTTTAAGGCTGAAAGTGAAAGACGTTCCGTCACAAACACAAGTGAGTTGTTCACCTGAAAAAAACACACGGGTACATCTGGTTCAAGTCAAAGTAGGGAATTGCATCGGACAACATTTTGGTCACTGATGCGTCAAATTTGGAAATGTCCTCCACATGTCTACCATAAAACTGTTTGAAAGTTTTACTGAGACATTGAATGTTTTTGCCTTGATCAAACAACTTCTGAGAAAGAGTTGTATGATGCTTCCCGAAATCTTGGTAGAAAGAGCACGCTCGGTTGTACCTAAAAAGTTGTGGAATGTAAACAGCAAAGGCTGGAGCTGCTTAAATATTGCTCGACGTGACTATTTGAAAGTTGAAGTCAGCTCACGTGTCACACAGTTTGTGGAGAGTGATTGGTCTCTCTGAATCTTCATGCATAGATGTTAATATGAAACAGATGAGGCGTTCTCGCTAGTTTCCTTTATTTCTAGTTCTGTGGGGGGAAATCAGTGGAAGGGCTATTTGATGGTAATTGAACGATATATTTTTCGATATACCTGAAGCTTAAGTTGCACTTCTTGGCCAAATTACCATGTTTTGGCTGTGGCAATCCGAGCATAAATTTGGAATCATATGCATAAAGAAACAGATCGGAAAGAAGATGAGCACAATAGGTGCCCATGACGTTGCCAACTTCCCCCTTAAATGTCTTACCCCCTTTTTTTACATAAAGTATTTCACATATTGGTTTCTCAGTAAACGACAGATGGCATTTGCATTCATTTTAGACAAATTATGTTTGGCACATGTCATTCCATGACGACGCTTTATATAATCACACTCATTGCATAATTTTATAACTGTCACTGTCCTCTATATGCTAGAAATGTCACTGCCTATCATGTCAATTTCAGTACTCTGTATCACACAATGTAACACCTTCCTGTCAAAAACATGTTCATTTCACTGACTTTGATGTGCGTTTCAGTGTGCTCCACAGACTCCAAGGAGCCCGGCTCCTCATCCCGCAACCCCCCCTTGAACTGCCCCGATGGCACAGTACCCTGTGACACGTCTGACGTGTGCGTCAACCGCACCAAGATCTGCGATCACGTCGACGATTGTCCGGACAAATCTGATGAGCAGTCAAAATGTAGGTTAATGTTTTGTTGTTCTGTGCCTCAAAACGTAAACGTCAACTGTTTATTCAGTATTTGAATGAGTGAGGGGGTTGAGTTTAACAGTATAATGTTATATCACGGTGTGTCAGCTTAATGAAGGAAGAAAGCCCTAAGTGATGCAGGTATCAGACGGTTACCACTTTGGTGAAACCCACGAGCACGGATATTGTTCTGACCAACCTACAGAAACATCATCGGGGCAAACCGGAATTTGAACCTACGATCATAGGTTTCTGGTGTTCCCAGGGGACGCAACTCTGCACAGAGAATTTCGACGACTTAGACGAGTGGGCCACCCGTGTCCTCATTTAGTATTTGAGAACTCAATTAACGGAATATATCCTATTTCCTTCACGAGCTAAGACAACGCTTAATGTTTTATTGCAGTAAAACATCGTATACTATACTGTGTATCTAATATACATTTCCTTCAAACCACAGGCGATGAATACCACAATCAGTATTTTCAAACATTGTATGAGAAACGACCGGAAGCTGACAGGAAGGAAGAATCCCGTGAATGTGGTAAGTAGGGGTGAATCTTAAATGTTAGAACATAGAAATGTTAGGGACACGCCATTAACTCGAAGTCCAATCCATCGTGTAAGATAGTGTCGCAAGAGAATCCTTATCAGAAGAACGATCTAAAATCGACTCTCCTCACAAACTTCGGGTAACTCGATACATTTGAAAGCCACCTCCCCCTTCCTCCCTCTAACTTAAAGTTAATGAGATTCTGCTGGATCCGAAAATATGAAAATCGGATCCCGTTGTCATATAAACACATCAAATAACAAAAGTTAACAGATATGCATAAGTGATAAATTGTCTTATGTTTCAGTGTTATCCCCTATCCCTAAACAATGTGAGTGCAAGAGTAAGACTCACCTATACTGCGAGAACCAGCAGTTACGTCAAGTGCCCAGACAAATACCGTGGAGGGTGACCGAACTGTAAGTGTATCAACTTATCTATGTACTGCACCTAATGCTATCTGTCCGCCTTCGTAGTTAAGTGACCGAACTGTAAGTGTATCAACTTATCTATGTACTGCACCTAATGCTATCTGTCCGCCTTCGTAGTTAAGTGACCGAACTGTAAGTGTATCAATTTATCTATGTACTGCACCCTATGCTATCTGTCCGCCTTCGTAGTTAAGTGGCTGGACTGTAAGTGTATCAACTTATCTATGTACTGCACCTAATGCTATCTGTCCGCCTTCGTAGTTAAGTGACCGAACTGTAAGTGTATCAACTTATCTATGTACTGCACCTAATGCTATCTGTCCGCCTTCGTAGTTAAGTGACCGAACTGTAAGTGTATCAACTTATCTATGTATTGCACACTATGCTATCTGTCCGCCTTCGTAGTTAAGTGACCGAACTGTAAGTGTATCAACTTATCTATGTACTGCACCTAATGCTATCTGTCCGCCTTCGTAGTTAAGTGACCGAACTGTAAGTGTATCAACTAATCTATGTACTGCAACTAATGCTATCTGTCCGCCTTCGTAGTTAAGTGACCGAACTGTAAGTGTATCAACTTATCTATGTATTGCACCTAATGCTATCTGTCCGCCTTCGTAGTTGAGTGACCGAACTGTAAGTGTATCAACTTATCTATGTATTTCACCTAATGCTATCTGTCCGCCTTCGTAGTTAAGTGGCTGGAGTGTATGTCTGGAGAACGGAAGGTAGGGGTTCGATCCCCTGTCGAGTCATACAAAAAGGTGATTAAAAGATCGTATTTGGTGTTACCCTGCCTGGCGCTCGGCATTATGGGGCTAAACCAAGGACTGGCTCGGAGTCAGTATACTATGTCTGAGTGGGTACTCATGTTAAACTGCGGCATGGTATCTCAGTGGGTTAGCACACTATAAACCCGCAAAGGTGCACATAATCTTGAACGCGACGTCCATCGAATCACCTAACCTCACCTCGATCCAAAGTTTTTAAATAAATTTTGTTCTGCAATTGACATAACGTGATATATACCTTCCGTTACATTATTCAATTTGTCATTAAGCATGGTGGACTTCCATTTCTTGTCGTTGTCCAGACTCTCTTGCGTACGGTTGAGAAAATGCCTCTTTCTAATGAGTCCAATCATGTTGTTGTTCACGGTACAAAATTATACACACGAGTTATTCTGTTACTATCCGTTCCCAGATTGGCAATATCACCTTTAAAGGGGTCTTTGCGCCAAGATTTGTTACCCGCTTCGTCTTTGAAGATTGATTCCTTGCTCTTCTGATGTCCAGTCCTGTCTGTGTCTGGACACTGTAATTGAAACAATGTGTGAAGTTCAGACAATGTCCATGTGTGAACACATCGCATGACTGGTGACAAACACGGGGATCCTTGAACGACGGTTGTCGTTTGACTTGGACCACGTCCGTGTTAAAGCCACTGTGTGTTCTCTTGCTCTAAAATTCCATGTTTGACTCATAAGTAACAATGATGTCCGATACAGTTCCCTATTTTTAACTTGTGCCATATGTTCCCGTGTTTTTTAGGTGAACAATTGACTTGCCTTTGCATGTGTTTGTGACGGGTGCCACCGGTGGGGCAGGATACGCTCACCATTTTGGGAACACCTGGTATCATCGCTATGTGACAGTGATTCATGAACACATGCTCATAATATAGTCGGAATCGTACAATCGACTCTGCTTTATGTAGAGATTTCTATTGGATATGGAAAGGTTCTGTCACACTTTTCATTCACGGAGGCACGGGTGGCCCAGTCGTCTAAGGCGCCGCGATTCGCTGTGCAGGGTTGCGTCCCTTGGGCACGCAAGAAACCTATGACTGTGGGTTCGATTCCCGTTTCGCACCTATTATGTTTCTAGGTTTGTCAGCACCATACCCATGTTCGTGGGTTTCACCGAGGTGGTAAACGTCTGAGACTGAGGCTGACACGTCGCGATATAACTGGAATACTGTTAAAAGCAGCGTTAAACCCAACTCACTCACTCACTAGAACTTACAAAACCGGCATAACTCCGGACCAGTACAAGCAGCCACACACACACGTGCATGCACGTCGCAGTGAAAGTGCAATAGACTTGAACGCGACGTCATACCCAATTTCACCTGACCTCATCTCTCACACAAAGTTAAAAAAAACACCAATATTAAGCTGGAAATCTTTTCCATGGCAAATTATAAAGCAATTAAAAAGTGGCTATTTTTTAAAGGTATTTTTGACTAATATTTCAAATCTATTTTGACACGCTGTCTATTAAAGACATATTCTCATCTGTTAACTTCAATACACATTCGTCAAGATACGTCTTTCCTCGGCCACTCCGGCAACACAGATGATCAGTCAACGTCACCGACACCCCCGGCAAGTCAACAACGATGTCGTGTAGGTTTCACTTTGTCAACCCAATGCTCCCAGTGTCGTGGTGCGCTATACTTCATGCTCGCCGGAACTGACCCCAAGCATTCACGTGGCAGTGGACACGCTATCCAATCAGGACACAATCTGGTCTCAATTGATCATCGATGATTGATTTGATGTCTTTTGGGAACTTACTTGGACTAAATTACGTGCACTAAGTAGGTTAATATGGATTTGAAATTCAGATGGTTCGTTAGAAACGAAATGGGAGGGTGACTGCCAGTGACATATATGACATTACTTCACATACAGTAAACTACGTTTATAACGGACACGCTTATAACGAACTGACCGATATAACGAACTTATTTTTTAGTCCCGAACATTTGTTGTATAAATGCTGTATATATGCTTATAACAAACTACGGTTATTACGAACTAAAATTAGTGGTCCCTTCGAGTTCGTTATACCCGTAGTTTACTGTATATAGAAGAATGCGACGTGAGCTATATAACAAAGAAATAAGAGGCTTTTGATGTACAATGGGGCATAGTTTGCTTAGAACATTGTGTACATATTTGTGTGACAAAATGTGTTTTTGAAATTACTGTTATTGAATTGACTACAATTATTAGAAAACGGGTACGCTATAATTAAGAATGTGTTTCAACTAGGTTTATTAATTTAGTATACTTAAAGGCCTGTGGTACATTCATTGCATCAGCGTTAACATTGAAATAATATTTGCTTTAATTTACATTGCAGTGGCATTAGCGGGAATAAAATCCCATCGGTCACAGTGAAAGACTTCCGAAACTTGACGGAGCTAATCGAACTGTAAGTTAAATCTATTTGTGTTGAATATCACTTTGAGGTAAATGTATCTATGTGCGTGCGCGCATGTATGTATGTATGTATGTGTGTGTGTGTGTGTGTGTGTGTGTGTGTGTGTGTGTGTGTGTGTGTGTGTGTGTGTGTGTGTGTGTGTGTGTGTGTGTGTGTGTGTGTGTGTGTGTATGTGTGTGTGTGTGTATGTATGTATATGATTGCGGAAATCTGCTAAACGCGTTCTTGATGGCAACTGCTGTAAAACGTAAAACAATACGCATTCATTCATGTCTTGTAATCCAAACTATTTTCAGATTCTCTTTATGCAGTTACAATGAAACCCCATTAATCCGGACGATATCTCTCCTTGTGCAATCTTCCACTTTATCAAATGTCCGGGTAACCGAGTCCTTCGTATTAAGTTATGTTCATTTACATCATAATTGTAGATGATTTATACTAACGTAACTGCAACAACAACACTGTCCGCGTTACGGACAAGGTACGGACTAACTTTAACTAACTTGGTTTCACTTTATCTAGGGTATCGTGATTCATTCCTCGTGTTGTTCCCTGTTAACTGATATGTTGTTCATGACTCCCTGTGTTGTTTCTGTAGGTTGTTCAAGTACTCATCTCTGCAGCACATCAGGAATGGAACGTTCAGACATTGTCGTAAACTGACCGCAGTGTAGGTAATAAACTGCATCGCTAATGTTTGGTATTGACATACAGAAAATGGAGTAACCTGGACACGATATATTACAAATTGAACAAATGAGGCTATGTTAAGTATAATGAGTTCATACATTATCATAAACTGGTCAGGGGCGGTGGAGTAGCCTAGTGGTTAAAGCGTTAGCTCGTCACGCCAAAGAGCCGAATTCGATTCCCCAGATGGGTATAATGTGTGGAGCCCATTTCTGGTGTCCCCCGCCGTGATATTGCTGGAAAGGTGCTAAAAGCGGCGTAAAATTATACCCACTCACTCATTCATAAACTGAACAGAATGTAGAGAATGGACTTCAATATCTTGGCCTACATGTACGTTCGGATATTTTTGAAAGTGCCCTAAGCGGACTACTATGTGGGTAGTTAATTGAACCTATGTTTAGTATATTATTTTCCGGCTCTCGTAAATTGCCCGCAGTGTAGGTAATAAATTTACCTCTGAGCCTATTTTTAGAAGGAGACCTTCAGACATTACGGTAGACTGCCAACATCGTAGGTACACTCTAATTCATCATCCCTGTTACAGATGTTATAAACTCTGACACATCGAGGATACACTTCGTTTGTACACTGATGATTGAGGGTACTTCGAGTCCATAATTCATGCCACGTTGACATAATACTTATATCTGTAACGTTTCACTTATATTTTACTGTTCGAGTTATTTCGACCCGAGGAGCCGTGGGTGGCCAAAAAGGTTTAACAGCTAAAATATACTAAAACCTATTACAACTCATATATGCGATCACTTTCCTTCTTGTTTTAGACACCTGGTTGGAAACAAACTGAAGACGTTTTCTTCGCAAATATTTGCTCGAGAAAACCGACTGCGAAACATGTAAGTATGATAGCTATCAGCTGTTGTTTAGATTTGTTTTTAAAATTTACAGCAGCTGGACAATAGTCGTGCCCAAGTTGATGTAAGTTCCTGATGTCACAGAATAATCCGTCTCGATAATGCGCTGAAGAGTTCTGGAGCTACGAATCTACTATTTATTGGCCGAAGCCCAATTGGAACGGACAACGTTACTCCGGAAAAATCACTGTATATATAATCACTTTATCTGTATAATTTTTTTATAAAGTATGTATGTGTATGTACAGTTACTCTGTAACAATGTTTCGTTGATCTGAGAACCCTACTGTCATGATAACGGGTTGTATTGTGGACACTGATATTCTATAAACACAAGTGACTCAGATCGCGACGATATCACTTGGAAAACTACTCGCCAGATTAATTGGTTGTGTTGTAGATACTTTTTAAACTGGTTCTTTAAACTCGCGACGATATCCCCGAGGACCCCTCTGTCCAGATTACACGGTACCCTTGAAGATTCCGGGGTAGAATAGGTCTTCAGCAACCCATGCTTGCCGTAAAAGGCGACTATGCTTGTCGTAAAAGGCGACTAACGGGATCGGGTGGTCAGGCTCGCTGACTTGGTTGATGCATGTCATCGATCCCAATGGCGTGGATAGATGCTCATGATATTATTCACTGATTTGTCTGGTCCAGACTCGATTATTTACAGACCGCCGTCATATAGCTGGAATATTGCTGAGTGCGGCGTAAAACAACAAACCAACCAACCAACCAACCAGATTACACGGAGTAAACGCTGTTACTTTACACTGGTGTTCTTTGAACACACGTGACAGAATAAGAGGAGGGGAATATAATGCAAAACAACAGAGACAACATTTCTTTAACTTGAAGACTGTCAGATGTAATGACGATGACACGCTCGGCAAAGTTCCAGAAAGCGGTTAGGCCAATTTAAAACACTACAGATACTTCAACACGTGTACTATATCACTCATGTTAGACCTAAGCGTGCCTTGACTACGAATTATTTCAAAGGCAGTAACAGGATGGTGCTTGACTTTGAGAGCGCAGACCCTTTAGACTTGGGTAAATTGGTTGTTATCAACAGCGGAAATCCTTTGAAGACTATTGCCGTGATTATGTAACCATGATGTTAAAAGCAGGGTATGAAAATCCGCTTTATTTTGTGTGAAACATGACAGTTTACAGGTTATACTCATCTTTGGAGATAAGTGGTGAAAAGGATTTATGTATTGCTTAACAGGAGGTGTAAACTGTAGTTGTAGACAGATGGGGAAGTCTGAGAAAATAATTATCAACTGTACAACATCTGTTACGTATGATAAATCTTTAAGTAATGTTTTCCTGTAATAAGTATAGATTTGTACAGTTATATGTACGAGTTAACGCTATGAAAGGCAGCATCGAAGCACATTCGGATCACTGATTCTTCTCTTGTCAACAATCGTTATAATTAGTTCTTCATTAACACAATATCCTAACATGTTGTTAGAACAAAACACAGACAGCACTGCATCGTATAACACCTCACCACAACACGTCGTAGAAAGGCATACTAACACGTCATAACAAAGCACAAAACGCCGTGGGAAGGCAAAATAACACGTCATAACAACTCAGCACAACGCGTCATAGGAAGGCAAAATAACACGTCATATCAAGGCACAACACGCCGTAGGAAGGCAAAACAACACGTCATTTCAAAGCACAACACGTCGTACAAAGGCAAACTGACCCGTCATAACAAAGCACAACACGCCATATGAAGGCAAAATAACACGTCATAACAACTCAGCACAACACGTCGTAGGAATGCAAACTGACACGTCATAACAAAGCACAAAACGCCGTAGAAAGGCAAAATAACGTCATAACAACTCAGCACAACACGTCATAGGAAGGCAAAATAACGCCATAACAACTCAGCACAACACGTTGTAGGAAGGCAAACTGATACGTCATAACAACTCTACCCAGGATCTTCACGGGTCACAAAAGTATTAACGCATAAACGAATAACCGTGCATCACAAAGAATATCACCTATGGGATATTGTCTTAGTGCTTGATTCCTTGTGTTATATTGATGGTACTGATAATGAACAATAAATAACTCTATTTTTTTCAGAACATTGAGCCAGAATCAGATATCTGTACTCGGAGAGTTTGATCTTCGATATTTGGACCACCTCTATAAATTGTAAGTAAAATTATTTTTTTCATATGTGAGAATTAATTGGTTAGAATTAATGTCAGAAATGTACATTGAACGAAAATAGTTTATTTTTTTGGATACTTTTATGAAATTGTGTGATCTTTGATACCAAAAATATATCCAATTACGCATACTACATTTAAACAATACTATATACACATTATAATAAAATATCCCGCAACACGTGGTCGAAGAGGAAACAACCGCGAGTGAGTGAGTGATTTTGGTTTAACGCCGCTTTGAACACTATTTCAGTTCATCTCGGCGTGTTTGCTTGGTGTGGGAGGAACGATAACACGTTGCCAAACCTATAAAAAGGTTGAATTGCAGAATCGAACCCACGATCCAATGTTCTTGTGCGCCCCATAACCATAGCAATCCGTGCCTCTGCTACAACCAAGTACATGCTGCAATGAAACAGTGTTTATAAAACTAAAGGCATCATTATAGGTGACATATATAATTAATAATGAACAATTGGCTTGCCTTTGCATGTGTTTGTGACGGGTGCCAATTGTGAGCAAAATACGCTTAGCTTTTCGCGAAAATCTGGTATCAGCACTTTTTGATGGTGATTCATAAACACATGCTCATGATATAGTCGGAGTCATGCAATCCACTGTGCTTTTTGCGTATATATTTATTATTTCATATTTATTAGCTTCTTGTTGTAATATTTTGTAACACGAGCTTATACCACCTTCACTTTTCTTCCTGTCATTGAATACCAGTTTTCTATGCTGCCGACAAATGGCTGGAATACTGCTGAAAGTGTTGTAACACGAGCATATACCACCTTCACTTTTCTTCCTGTCACTGAATACCAGTTTCCTATGCTGCCGACATATGGCTGGAATACTGCTGAGAGTGTTGTAACACGAGCATATACCACCTTCACTTTTCTTCCTGTCACTGAATACCAGTTTCCTATGCTGCCGACATATGGCTGTAATACTGCTGAAAGTGTTGTAACACGAGCATATACCACCTTCACTTTTCTTCCTGTCACTGAATACCAGTTTCCTATGCTGCCGACATATGGCTGTAATACCGCTGAAAGTGTTGTAACACGAGCATATACCACCTTCACTTTTCTTCCTGTCACTGAATACCAGTTTCCTATGCTGCCGACATATGGCTGTAATACTGCTGAAAGTGTTGTAACACGAGCATATACCACCTTCACTTTTCTTCCTGTCACTGAATACCAGTTTCCTATGCTGCCGACATATGGCTGGAATACTGCTGAAAGTGTTGTCAAATTCAACTAACTCACTTTGTGTTAATCCAAACGCTGTCTATAAGTGTTTTGCATTGAAAATACCCTGTCTGTTTTGGGAATCAAAAGCACAACACCCTCTAAACACGCTATTGACAGGCTTACCGTGTCTGTAGCACCTCTGAAGATTTGTGTCGCCATAGTCCAAGACCCTCAGACTACAGTCTCATTCATCAGCAGACATCCAGATATTTCTTATTATAGTTCCCCGATTATCAAGGCTATTCAATTACCTACATGTCATTATTTCATGCAACTCTGCACTTGATTTCACCTATTGTGATGTGTTTTACAGAAATCTTGCAAGAAATGAAATCAGCTTGATAGAAAGCGGTGCCTTTTCATGGACACCCCAGCTACAGGATCTGTGAGTAGTCACCTTCAAGACTCGTTACACCGGTTGGGGAGAAGGCACGAGACGTAGCGGCCTGCTTTATCTTTTCCAATCTAATTGTCTATCGTCTCAACGTTGAAAACCCTTCCCTCTTGTTCTGCCCATTTATATCCAAACCATCTGTGTACAAGTAATTTTATTAATGAAAGTGAAGCTGATTGTTTTATAACTGCATCACTTCATAATTTGTGACCTCAATTTTATGACGGCGCCTTCAAGTCATCACTGTTTGATAGTGATTCATAAGCACTTGCTTATTATATAGTAGAATCTTGCAATGGGATCAGCTTTTAACAGCGATTTCTTATGATTGTGGAAAGCATTTTGTCACTTTTATTTATATCTGCACAACGATTTTATGTATTGTTTATGTGAGTGGATTGCAAGTTAAGCATTTCTTTATGAACGTTTGCGGCCTTCTCCCTTTTACCCAAATGCATTTATAATTGTTACGAAATTTGTGAAAACACACACACACACACACACAAGCTTGTAAGTGCGCTATATACACGTAAGTGCACTAATTTCGCCCCATTTCGTCCCACTAACTCACTCACTCGCTCGTTTATCATCATACATTTTCACAACACGAAAACCGGTTGGACGTTTTTGTTTAGTGATCCCTATAAGCATACGTAGAACTATTTTATTGTACATGTTCACATACCCATTATCTGTCTTCCTCAGTATACAAAACACCCACACTCATATCAAGCAGCTCGTGTTCTCAGTGATGCATGAAAAGAACATTCCGAAGCATTAACATCTTCCGCGAGGCTATGTACGCGTTGAAAAGATAATTAGAGAATTACATTGTTTATGTGTTTCAATGTTAATGTAGATCTGCGAAACCGTCTTTATCAACGTGTCAGTGTCACAAGTGTCCCCGTCAAGTTGTCACTTCCATTCTGGAACCACGCCAGCTGATTATTGATATTACGTTAATTTCACGTTTTCTTTCAGAGACCTGAGCGGCAATAAACTAGTGGAAATCCGGCCGTCATTTTTTGACCAACTCAACAACCTTCACAGGCTGTAAGTATAAAACACCCTATACTAATCAGAGAGGTCATTATGCTTCCGACGTTTTAAGTAGGTCATTATGCTTCTGACGTTTTAAGTAGGACTCCGTGTTTCCGAGGTGGGTGAAAGTATTGACGTTGCGCCAGCTCAGTGTATTTCCGTATGACAAATGACGTCAAAGTCATAGCAACACTGGAGGTCCTTTGACTTCAAGAATAGCATCATTATGTACACATTTATACGTCTTTTTCAACACGGTTGCCAACCTTTAGGCTATATATTAGGTGATCAGAGGCTGAAACATATATGTGGCCGAAATAAATACCACAACTTCCATGTACGTGTAAGAGTGTAAACTCAATGGTCTTAGAATAGCATACATCAAGGTGTCCTCTATGTTAACAGACTTGAAATGTAGGATGCGTTTTGAAATATAAGAACCATCAAACGAAGACATCAAATCGATTTCATTTCCTTTAGGCTATTAATGGGTATTGCTTGGATACAAGGGTATTGAATTCATCACAAATGCGCTTTATTCATTTCTTAGTTATAAGTTATAGGGTTGTAAAGTTTGATATACTCTTAAAGAGGTTGTTTGGCCACAAGCGTTTAACACAGTTATAGACATATTCTCGGGGCCTCTCGTTTCATGTTTCTGAAGTTATGTATGGCACCCCTGCATTTTTGTCAACAACGCATGAACATATATCCCAGAGTAAATTCCGAGATCTACTTATAGTTTGTCAAAAGAAAACCTCCAACGACTATTCTACATAAGCACTTTGTACGCGACATGTATGCAACGATTTGAGACAGGCATAGAACTATGATACTGTTTATGAAAGATATTAAAATACCCATTACAAAGCGTGTTTTAACGCTAACGCTGGGAGCGATAAATAAGTTTTATACGATGTAAAGTGTTCACATCAATATGTTAACGTTTAAGTTGTAATGAAGTTGGACATTATATTAAGTTAAACTGAACCAGTACTTTAGTTTTTTCCCATTCCCACTCTTTAATTAATTACATAATCATAATCAATGTGGTTATTGCAGTAACTCGAGGTTTAATGACTGTGTAACATATTTTGCATTCTTATGAAACTATGTTTCAGCCGCCTAAGAGGAATGGGGTGTGAAATGTTTTATATCAATTAAAAACATATAGGGCAATGTTGACTATCGGTATCAGTGTATGAGCTCATTGTTGCCTTCGGAATACACTACGGCACTAACTAAACTCGGTGAATCGTTTTGTAAATATTTCTAAATTGTCCCTCATTGTAACTGTCAAGAATGATGAGACATCCACTTTGCTGCACGGTGTCAGTAAGTATACCAGTGATTGACGTAAATTGCCGGCCAAAAGAAAGTATACACCCATATTTGATGGTGGCTAAAATGACACAAACAAGAAATGGTTATTGAATGGGGATGTACTAGTATTTGATACGGGTATCATAGTTGTGTTTTGGAACTTAAATTTGCAGGGTCTCTGCAACTGTTTTGAGCCTTGTAATGCTCCAATTTTCAGGGTGTACTTTCTTTTTGCCCTGATGTTCAGATATGCCGTGAACAACATGGTACATCTACATGTAGGTTGCAGCTTCTACACTGGTTGTCTACTGTCACTGACATTTATTTCTTGCAGTATGCTGTCCTATAACAACATCGAGTATATTGAAGCTGGTTCGTTTGCAGGCATGAAAGAACTAAACATACTGTAAGTTGGTTTGTGTGAGATGTTTGCTTTACTGTACAAAAACCGGGTTCGAATCCCAAAATGGTAAAACATTTTAAAGGAACAGGAAGTCCCATTGGGTTTCCGGGTCGTTATAGACCCCGATGTATCTAAATGGTGGTTAAGATGCGGACCTAACTGAGTGTGTATGATCGTGCTCAACGTGAAGGACGTTTCATGATATCAACCACTAGTATTTTTTACTATTTTACAGGTCGCTGTTATAAAGCTGGAATATTGCAGAATATTGTCCAATTACAAATACATATAGATGCTTTAGTTAACATTATTGAATGTTTGTTTTCAAACCATCGAATCACACACACACACACACACACACACACACACACACACACACACACACACACACACACACATATATATATATATATGATTAAATCCTCTTGGTGTATAAGTCCATGTTCTACCATGCCATAAATGAGTTTGTTTTTTAAGGAGCCTGTCGCATAACAAGATACAAGTTCTTAAGAAAGGGACGTTTGATGGCCTGGAGCAACTAACGATGCTGTATGTTTCTCTCTTTCTATTTCAACTCACATTCATGTAGAATATGTTTTTTTTAAACCCACAAAAAACAAACAAACAAACAAGCAAAAACTCACATACCGGGATTATGAAATAGTTATACTGTTTTGCATTAACCATATTGATATTAATCAATTACGTAAGTATGTTTAATGGTGATTTCTACTGTTGTGAAATGTGTATTTCACTAACTCTATTTCAACGCATGGTCAGTGACGATTTCGTCATTCTGTGTCTGGAAAAAAAGTTTCCTTTTTGGACTTGTGATCTTCATACGTGTGCGACCCGTGAAGATCCAGGGTAGAATATGTCTTCAGCAACCCATGCTTGCCGTAAATGGCGACTATGCTTGTCGTAAGAGGCGACTAACGGGATCGGGTGGTCAGGTTCGCTGACTTGGTTAATGCATGTCATCGATCCCAATTGCGTGTATCGATGCTCATGATATTAATCACTGGATTGTCTGGTCCAGACTCGATTATTTACAGACCGCCGTCATATAGCTGGAATATTGCTGAGTGCGGCGTTAAACAACAAACCAACCAACTAATCATACGTGTGCTGCTCCTTTTGCAGGTTTCTGATGAGGAATGACATAACGACAGTTACCGCCGGGGCATTCGACCCTCTGTTGTCTCTGCAATCAGTGTAAGTTACTTTAAATACCTGGTACACCCGGTAGTCATAGACAATGTTTGGCGGTGGGTGGGGTAACCAAGTGGTTAAGGCGTTTGCTCGTCAAGCTCGTGAGTACAATGTGTGAAGCCCATTACGCGTGTTCCCCGTCGTGGTGTTTGCTAGAGCATTGGCGGCGTAACACCATACTCACTCTCTGCACGAAAATATAGCTAGCTCGAATTTAATTCTATAATTCTTCGTTATCCAGTGGGATTGTCGTTACACATGTTTATGAAATGTTCATATCCGGTTTACCTGTGGACCTGTGGGAAGGTCAGAGAAAATTCCCAGTACCTTCTGTTGTGGGAAGGTCAGAGAAGATTCCCAATACCTTCTACTGTGGGAAGGTCAGAGACAATTCCCAGTACCTTCTATTGTGGGAAGGTCAGAGAAAATTTCCAGTACCTTCTATTGTGGGAAGGTCAGAGATTTAAGATTTAATTTAAGTACCTTGATTTTTTGAGAGACGACTAAAACGTGTGACTTAGCCGATACAATTACATTAAACAAATGGCCATCAAAACTCATTGTCTCACAACAGTTCTCTTTAAGATGATGCTTATAGCGTCCAGTATCTTAATTTTCATACATGCTTAGGTATACCCAGTGATGCTTTGAAACTCACTTTTTTGTAGTATTAATAATTAATACGTACACGCATTTGACATGTATTTCAGGGACATGACCTTAAATCCGTTCCGGCAGATACCCAAGGATACATTCAAGAAGATCCACGGACTTAACTTCATGTAAGCATGAATAGCTTTGCAAATCATTTACGCCGTACTTGTAATCGACTGATCATGAATGTCACTATTTACAATTTATCCTAATGTGATTGATGATAGGTATCCAGCTATGGACAAAAACCGAATATCGTTCTTTGAAATTAATAAAAGAAAAGAAAAGATATTGTATTTAATGCGAAGTTTGATGGGGTCTATCTACATAATCTAAACCTCAATCCACCTTGTGTTGTCATTCGTCGTCATAGAAACCAAATGACCATGCCGATAATCATTACATCATTACGACGTTATAATACCATCAGTGTATTGAGCTGACATATACAGGCTAGGAAACTTACTGTTGCTTGGTTGGTTATTTTGTTGTTTAACGCCGCACTCAGCAATATTCCAGCTATATGACGGTGGTCTGTACATAATCGAGTCTGGACCAGACAATCCAGTGATTAATATCATGAGCATCGATACACCCAATTGGGATCGATGACATGCATCAACCAAGTCAGCGAGCCTGACCACCCGATCCCGTTACTCGCCATAGTCACCTTCTACGGCAAGCATGGGTTGCTGAAGACCTATTCAACCCCGGATTCTTCACGGGTCGGAAATTACTGTAATGTATCTTCATCACTCCGTGCTGCCAAAAAGAATACACATAAAAACATCTTAGTTAATAGTTTATGTATTACTGACATCATCATAACCTTTTTTTATACAAATAGTCTTTCAGAGCCGATGTGATTAATTTTTGCAAATCGTTTAAATTTACCCTAAGGAACATTGCAATGCAATCATCACACGGACTTGGATGCTAACACTAAGACGTCAGAGTTGCTGACTTCATTAAGCACATGTCAGAGAAGTTTACATGGACGCACGCAGCGTGGTCAAGCAGTGCGCGGTGCTTGACGAACGTAATAGCCCCGATAAACATTGAAATAAATTTGACGGTTCCTTTTTAGAAAACATTTGACAGTTTCCTTTCTACCACATTTGTTCCACTTCAGGATAGACACATCGTTTACACATCCGTAATCAGTGATGATGGTAGAGATCGCCGTCGAACGTTAAGATGAATTAGAAGGTCGTGGGATATGCCGGCGTTACGTTGGCATTAATGAAGGGCTCTTGATATTTTCAGACGCAAGTGCACTGCGTGAATGCGGTGATATATCACAAGCTTGACATTGATCTGAGGATCTATGCGTCTCAATAAAGCTATTCTGGGAAAGGTAGTGATTAATAAGGCACCATGTTATAAAACCCTATCCCAAACAGTGAGGGTTAAAAATTAACCAAGGAAATTGCATTCAATAAATTCCAGTGTATTTGTGTGTTCTGTAAACTATTAAATGACGTGTTTCAAATTTGATCAATTAACATTGATGGAATTGAAGGGTGTATGCAACGGTTTTAGAATTACCAAAATAATGTTTTTCGTGTAATCACTTTCTTGATGTGATCTTCATAGCCTGAACTTATTTAGTATCGACTTGGCGGTTCAATAATCCTGTTTGTGTAGAGATTGACGTTAAACCTAGCAATAAACACGCAGTTATCTGCAACGCCAATTTTTCAGAGAGTGACATTATTGATAAGTTAAACGTTTTTACTTTCTGCAACATGACATCTACTCATAAACATCATGTTTCTTTTTATCAGTCCTCGCATAGAAACCTTTGTCGATGACATGGAGCTTTAGTGTGCACAGGCACGCTCAAACCTCAATAAATCAATCTGTTAAACGTAAAACGTATCTGAAAACACGATAGGACCTAGCAGGTGAGATATGAGAATTCGAATATTGGTTATTAAAAACCGCACAGAATCCAAATTAATCTGTATTAGTACAATCGTGTGTATCTTACTAAACGACGATAACGTTGATCATGCTGTCAGGTAGCCAATACTCTGGCCACTGGACCGGGTGGGCTTTCTTACTAGAAAGCCGTTACTGGAATGTTTAGGCCAGTTATATGGCGTGTCCAAGCTCGATTATTTATAGGATGGCGTTAAATAAAAGCGACAAAAAAATCACAATCATTGGAAATATATACTAAAAGCGGAGTCCTTTGACAGACATTTCTTCGAAGTTGACGGATGACAAAGTAGGCCCAAAAGAACTTGGATAACAACTTCTTTATCATATTGTAATAGCGACGATACGATTCAGATAATAATATTGTTGTCAAGCTAGAGCAAAACCGAAACTCACTCAGTGAATGGATCACTTTCAAATATTGACCTCCAACGAACACCATTAACTCATACGGGGCGGTCGGGTAGCCTAGTGGTTAAAGCGTTCGCTCGTCACTTCGAAGACCGAGGTTCGATTCCCGACATGGGTACACTGTGTGAAGCCCATTTCTGGTGTCCCCCGCCGTGATATTGCTGGAATATTGCTAAAAGCGGCATAAAACCATACTCACTCATCAAGCACTCATACTGGAGCCTATTATATAATATTCAAAACAAGTATTCATTTGAAATGTGTATATATAAAACTGCACTACTCATTACTCATGAACATGACCCATGAAGATCCGGGGTAGAATAGGTCTTCAGCAACCCATGCTTGTCCCAAAAGGCAACTATGCTTGTCGTAAGAGTCGGCTTATGGGGTAATCAGGCTCGCTGACTTTATTGATGCATGTCATCTTATCCCAATTGCCTAGATCTATGCTCATGATATCAATCAATGGATTGTCTGGCCAAGACTCGATTATTTACAGACCGCTGTCATGTAGCTGGAATATTGCTGAGTTCGGCAAATAAACAAACAAACAAACATTCTGAACGTGATTATCAGACGTTTCAAAACAAGTTCATAAAAGTAAACAATGTGTCCGTAACATATTACTTTCCTGTCAGGTCAAAAATAGAAATCTTCTTGATTCATACACGTATTGCCCTAGTTGCTCAAATCAGACCTACTTCTGAATTCTCTTCAGAAAATGAACGTATATACTGTTCAACCTTTGTAAGGGATATTTCGTACTATTTAAGTATGCATTTATATTGAAGTGAATCTATCAGTTGGTGAATCATAAGTTGGTTATAATCCCTATCAAAAGTTGAATAGTATATTTGTATTCCATTAATCACATCAATAAGTTTACACAGATTAGAACATGGAGCTCAAACAATTTCTTTACGAGGCGAATACCTGGTATCATCACAATGCGGTATTGATTCATGAACACATATGCTTGTGGTAAAGTCGGATTCGTACAACGGACTCTGATAGTTCTTATGATTGTGGACATGGTTTTGGGGGTTGAGTCCCGTCACTGTCAGAGTGAGGCACCTAATCGCCAGCACACAAAGCGATCTAACCCACTTAGCCACCGAAGATTCCACAAAATGAAAGTCCAGCAACTGGTAAATCACGTACTTTGTGTACCCCTCTGACGAGTGTAAATTGGTACGGCTCCCTTGGCCGAAAGCTATGTGCACACAAAGCCTTTTAGAAAGTGGCCAAATGTAACTAATGTTAAATTTGGGATGACACTTTCTTTGTGTGCTGGCGATTAGGTGCCTCAATCTGGCAGTGTGGGTTCGAATCCCGGACTTTACTAAGAAAGTGTTATACCTAATATAACATTTGTTACATTTGACCACTTTCTTAATGGCATTGTATGTTCATAATTCTGTAACATTTAGCATTAATCTACGAAGGACAGATAATCTTTACCTCCATCTAGGTTATTCTATATATTATCAATGTTCGATATGGCCGATCACAGTTTGCAGAAGTTATATCCAACCGTATTTGTAACCATGTCCCATTACAACATGAGTGACGTTATCAATAATGGATGTTACCATCTTCAGTCTTCGAGACAATTTACTTCATCGACATCACATCGATAACATAAGTCCCGCTTTGCAAATAATCACAACAATGAACCAACAAGGATGACTTAGCCAATCGACGAGAGGTACTGCTCAGTGAGACATTTTCTCGATATCAGTGACAATGAGATTCACAACGTAAACTAAGTATCAAGTTGATTGTATGTTTATAAACAGCAATACTGTATATAATTGCATGGAACACACACACACACACACACACACACACACACACACACACACACACACACACACACACACACACACACACACACACACACACACACACACACACAACACAATACACTTTTTGTATCATGTTCAAGTTAAAGTTAACATTAAAACATGGATTGATTCTTTGGTTGCAGCTACTTTGAAAAGTTTTACATGTGTGCCTATGTGCAAGACGTGGTGTGTACTCCTGACGGGGACGGCATATCCAGCAAGGACAACCTTCTTGAGAACGTCGTGCTGAGGATAAGTGTCTGGGTGGTGGCAGTCCTTGCTTGTGCTGGAAACATCGTGGTGCTCCTGGGGCGATTCCTTCTCAAGGAGGACAACCAGATTCACTCATTCTTCATAAAGAACCTGTCTCTGGCCGACATGCTGATGGGCATTTACCTGCTGATCATAGGTTCCCGGGATAAGATGTACAGGGGAGTATACATGTTCCATGATGAAGACTGGAGGAACAGCTGGGAGTGCAACGTCTCTGGAATACTGTCTACGGTCAGCAGTGAGATGTCTGTGATGACCCTGACTCTGATCACAATGGACCGGTACATGAGTATCATGTACCCGTTGTCCTTTAGGAAGCGTGGTTTGAAGGTGGCATACCTTGCCATGGGGAGTTTGTGGACCTTGGCCATTCTTATGGGAGTTATACCTGTTCTTGGATTAGACTACTTTGGAAAGTCGTTTTATAGTGATAATGCTGTGTGCATTCCGTTACATTTACACGATCCCCACGTGAAAGGCTGGGAATATTCGGCCATTCTTATTCTCGGGGTGAACTCAGTGTCCTTTGCCTTCATCAGCTATGCCTACGCTGCTATGTTTCTATCCATACAGAGGACAGCTGTTCCTCTCCGGACTACGAGAGAAAGCAGAGACAGGTGTTTGGTCAAGAGGTTCTTTTTTATTGTTATTACAGACTTTGCCTGCTGGGTGCCGATTATTATCATCAAAATACTTGCTCTTTCCGGTAAGTACATGGTCAATGCAAAACGACCTTCACATAATATATTTCTCTTTTTCAGAAACAAGACCTGTGAACTCCTAAAAGGAAAATATCTTGGATATGTTTTCAGGAATTGTTAATTATCACCACGTTTATATTATTATGACGGGCAAGAGTTGTATCACTTGCTAGAATTTGCTGGTCGCGGGTTCGAATCCCAGAGTTGTCTAGATTACGGTTTATCAGTTCTGTGCCCATGCTGCTTGGTTCCGCTCAATACGCTGATACACGATACGACGTAAACCCCATTTCCACTCACTCACTCATTCACGCATGCACGCACGCACTCATCCATCCATGTTTCACGCAAACCCATTAAATTAGGGTAACACCTCTTGATTTGTTCACATCAACAGTAAATGTATAAATTACTTTTTCCTGAACTACATGCATCTACTCCTCCATGGTCTAGTGGTAGAGCGTCCGCCCGGAGAGCGGAAGGTCCGGGGTTCGATCCCCGGCCGCGTCATACCAAAAGACGTTAAAAGATGGTACTTGTTGTTACCCTGCCTGGTGCTCGGCATTAAGGGGCTAAAACTAGAATTGGTCGGCTCGGAGTCAGTATACTGTGTCTGAGTGGGGTATTCATGTTAACCTGCGGCATGGTATCTCAATGGGCTAGCACTATAAATTGGCATCAGTCCGGACTAGTACAATCAGCCACACACACACACACACGTGCATGCACGTCGCTATATCAGTGCAATAATCTTGGACGCGACGTTAAACCCCATTTCACCTCACCTCACCACTAATCCATGAAAAAAAGCCTTGTGCTAATATAACCTGAGAGTTGATGAAATTGTTGTTTTCTGTGAAATATATAAATTGGATTCTATTTTTATACAGTTTTACTAATCACATAATGCACCTCAACCTAAGCAGCGCACCACACGCCCACATTTTCTGACAATAGGATTAGAGGGATGAGATTATAATTATACAAATCGCACAAAACAAGCACGGAAAAAAACAACACAGACATGTGTAATCTATTTTCACAGCGAAAAAGAAACATGATCTTTCAATAATCCCGATCGACTCTCCTTATTAAATAAGGCCAAACTACAATTTCAAGAAGAAATAACGGAATGCTAATGGCCATTTTTCATTGGCTGGTTTCGATCGACGTACGACGTAATGTAGTACATGGTTAAACTAGATTACGTAAATCGTCAGGTTCTACGAACTGGGTTTATCAAATCGGGTAACGCTAATCCCCTCTATCCCCCAGCCCAGCTAATTGGTTTCAAAGGGGAATTCATCTGCGTGTAAAATGACAATAAAAGAGGACAAATTTATATAAATGGCTTATTATTGCTTTCCATGTTTTTTTGGGAAAGGGAAACTTTTTATGAAAAGCGGAGCTGACCTATTTTATGATCACAATTGAAATAAATTAATAACGTTCTTGTCATGCTTGTGCAAAGTTTGATTTAAATTATAATATTCGGTTCGCACAACTGACAGACAAGGATAACACAAATTACCTAACTTGCACACTCTTCAGATAGTCTAACTTATATACCTTATCGTTTGAGGCGATGGTGATTCTAAGAAAAGGTGTGTTAACACCATTCCTATTTTATCACTTGATACCTAAAATGTACAATTTGGGATACAGGGTTTCCTTGGGAGTTTGTCTCGACATTCGTTTGTATTTTCAAGGATTTTGTCAGCAGATAAACTGACACTAAAGCTTCGAGTTCTCTGACCTATTTTGGTTCATAGTTCTCTCCTGAAAGACACGTCCTGTCATATGAACTGAACGTACCAGAGCTCGAAGCTTGTACTGAAGTGATATCTTAGCCTCATTATTTGTCATTTTGTCTCATCGTCCAGAGGCAAGAGTGTCCGCTGTCACTCTAGACTCACATCGTGACCACTGTTATGTCTTTCGAAGTGTAGTACCCCTTGTAGATCTGCCAACAGTATTATAAATGATGTGATATCTTAGCCTCATTATTTGCCATGTTGTCTCATCGTCCAGAGGCAAGAGTGTCCGCTATCACTCTAGACTCACATCGTGACCACTGTTATGTCTTTCGAAGTGTAGTATCCCTTGTAGATCTGACAACAGTATTATAAATGATGTACAAGTGACACTACACTTCGAAACAAATATCCCATCGATCGCGACCACACAATAAACCCTCAGGTTTCTGTCCGGATGGCGAGTGAACCGTTTCCGGATTAAATGGAAATTGGGAGTCGGATGTTACTTTGAAGTCCAGTGTATGATGGTGAATACAATATCCCAGCAATCCTGATACAGTGTTGAGAAAACTCTCAGTCGGTATTCGTGGACTATCAGCCATCTACTCCAAGACTGATTGTTTCCAGAAAGGACACTTTTGTATAAACGATCTGTATTATGTAAATGCATGCTCTGGCATCTGTCTGAGGCATCGGTCAGTCTGTGCGTTAAGATCCATTTAGATGAAGAAGATCATAGACCCTTGTGCTGGGTTACATCTGACTGTTGTTTATGCTGAATATGCAGACAGGAACAGGTTCTACAGGTTTGTGACGATGATTATTATCTTCATGGGAATATTATCTCTGATCTATTTTTTCTAAAGTAATTATCACGCCTCGGTTAGTTGATAACCGTTGTAGATTGAGTAGGAGTTTAGGGAGAATTGAACATTGTTCCGGTAAAAGCGCTGCAGAGGAAAAGTACATCCACCAGAAAATCGAACCAGGGTCTTCGGCGCAACGAGCAAGCACGTATACCAATCACTTACCCCACCGCGTCTGATAGTTATAGATCGGCTTCACTGTGTCGTGATTCTGATAAAAATGTTAATAATCTTCTACAGAATTTGGCTTCAGAGTCAAGTACATGTAATAGAAAATATTGTGTTATATTCTGACCTAGAGAAATAAGTACATGCTAGAAAGAGTGGACGTGCTGCGGTAGAATATGCGATTGGCGTTACGATAAGATATAAGATATTAGATGAATAAAGGTTAAGTTATTATCAATTATTTCTCAGGAATAAGGATAAGAACGTATTTAATTATTCAACTTTGGGAGGTTAATCCGTATTTCACGTTGCTCGTAAGTTAAGTGATTAAATCTACGACAGTTTTGATTATAATGTTGGTTATGGCTATCTGTAATAGAACGAAACGTCACCACAAGTGCATTGCATATACCATACTGATTCCTGAAGAAAAGAACATTCATTTATCACGACACGTACATCATTGAGGGAAAATACAACACCGTTCCTTTTGAACTAAGAACAATGATCAATATATACCACTTTATTCATTACATCAAAATAAGTATGTGGGATGTACTGTCATTCAACACGTAACTTTGAAGGACATTTCAATTACATTGCCTGTATCAATAAACGTCGTGCAGTATCTCAAATGAAATTGCTCATATCGTGTAGCGACTGGGTGAAGGTGCTCTATCAACGGCAACGCTTCTTCTCAAATAAACCTGTCATCCTCGATCAGTTGTGTCACATAGAGTCTTGAAATTAACTGTCACTTCTATCACCGCAGACGTCTATAACGACACACGGGGACGGGATATATCAAAGCAACGACGTAGCATACAATGGAAGAAGACAACGTACGCTAACGTCATTTGTGGATGGAAGCATCGTGTTCGTGTAAGAACCTTACGCCTGTAATCAATACCGACTATTCGAGATATGTCACATATTTTGTTATGGTCAGCAGAAAAATATCTTCTCGGGGCACAACATCTTGTTTCCAAGAAAAAAAAATAACCATTACAAACTTTGAGAAACAATGTTGAACAAAGTTGACTAGTCATGACCTAAAACCATGTGAAGGAGATATTTCGAATGAATACCTCCATAAAGGTATAAAACGATCCTCGCCCCGACTTTGCTTTGCTTTTCAGAAATGTTTGAAAAAAAACTTAGGATAATTGAATTAACATGTGAAATACATAAATATGTTTCACCACTCTTTTGCCTTTTCCTTCTAATGGAATCTGTTCGGGAGAAACTCGAGGCTGATTATTCCCTGGCGTTGACATTTTGTGGCCAAGATGTGAAGAGATGCGTCCTTTAGGCGTGCCCGAAACCAGTGGTCGTGGGTTCGAATCCTAGATTCACCCTGATTATTTTTCTCAGTTGGTCAACCCTGCAAGTGGGAGTTGAAAGGAGCCCACGTCAAACTCAGAAACGTTTGAAATAATTGAATGATCTTATGCTTTCACAAATTAAGGTTTTACGATAATTTTCAACTTACTTATGTTCTCAGGTTGTCTTTAAACCGCAATAGTCCACCACGAAACCTTAAGGGCACTTTGCAAGGAGCAAAAGTTTGTAACACGTCCCATTTTAATTCTGAATACCCATTAGTCAAGAAACTCTACGGTCTTTGCCCAGTCTCGGTCAAAGGTATTTACAAAAACAAACATGCTGTTTTCATGCTAAGGAAGAAAAGATAGATTTATTTCTCAAAAACTCAATATTTACACTATGTTGCCCATGGGCAGGCCCATGGGGGAGAATATGTTCCTTAACTTAAAACTCATGCTTTTGTTTCGCAAATACATGAATGTATTTCTTTCAAGTATATTGCCACAAAATTTAACTCACTTTAACTTAATTCAACGATTTTATAGCGATATTGAAATATTTCGCCCATGGGCGAGAATAAAGTTTGGCCCATGGGCGAGAATATTTTTCTTTGCTCAAAACTCATGTTTTACTGTCGCAAATACATGCGGGTGTTGTTTCAAATTTCATGACACAAAATTGAACTCATTTTAACTTAATTCAACTATTTTATAGAGATATTGAAATATTTCGCCTTTGGGCGAGAATATTTTCCTTTGCTCAACAGTTTTAGTTTCGCAAATACATAAAGGTGTGTCTACAAGCATGACAAATGATTCAACTCGTTTTAACTTAATTCAGCTAATTTGTGGCGTTATTAAAATATTTCGCCCATGTTTTCGTCAGCCC